TGTAAATGTTGAAACATCTAGGCTGCTACACTACACATTCAGGAGTGAAAAGTAGGCTGCTTAAAGAGAGGCAGAATTTACCATTGGGATTATGTTAGGAAGTATATTTTAATACATATTTTAAACTATTTTAAGATATATATGTTCAACCATGGTAAACTGGAAAGAAGCTCACCTCTCCAAAAGCTCCTCTTCCTATAACTTTCAGAGACTCAAAGTCATCCAATCCAAGCCTAGTCCTCTTGAGTCGTAAGAACTCCGTTTCTTTGCGAGCATGTTGTGATCGGCGTAACTTTTTCTATTTAAAGACAATTTAAAAGGATGATCTTATAGTCAGGTTGTTTCAAGGGCACAGTATTAAAGATGATACATATAAAAATTGAGGTATTTTACTAATGCTATAATTTATCAAAGTATTAGCACAGAAAGAACCTTAATAGAACATTTTTAACAGTTAATCCTTACTCGTGAAAAGGACTCCAATATTTCAACTAATTCATCTATTTATCTATATCTAGAAACACATAAAATTCATTCTTTCATTTGTATACTAACTTAATTCACAATAAATGAATTAACTAATCATTTTTATAAAATTAATTTCTTCATCTTTATGCTGACATAATTCATACACAAAAATTAAACTTTACATCCTGAACTACTAGTATCCTGATATTGATTTTCACTCTGTCAGGAAATCTACTTTGCTTCAACCCTAATTTCCATGACTGCTCTGTTACAACCTGAGACTTGTGACACCAAAAATCACACAATGGCAGTGTTTCCATAGAGATTTATTTATGGTAGCAGTTATAAGTAAATCTTATGACAGACTTTACTCTTAGACAAATTTTAATAAACTGCAGGATATTTGGCACCAACTCCTTGAAAATACAGAGCATCATAAAAAGAGGTTATTAAAATACTCAAGTCAGTAACTGCACTTTTGATCCTACAAAGATCACAAAAAAAAAACTATTATTAATGAGCCACATTCTGAAATATGTGAAGTTTCATTCACCACAGACATTTATTTCATTGTTCTAAACCTCATTTTTCCCTCTCATCAACTATTTGTTTCTTGTTTTTTCTCCCAGTGTTAGGGATCAAACTTAAGACCCCGCACATGCTAGGCAGGCTCTCTACCACTGAGCTACAGCCCTTTTTATTTTTTACTTTGAGATTGAGTCTCACTAAGCTGCCCAGGCTAGCCTTGAACTTGTGATCCTCTTGCCTTTGCCTCCTGAGTCACTGGAATCAGAGGCATGCACTACCACATCTGGCTTCTAGTTTTTTATACACTTAATTCCTAGACATAATAGAAATAACTAGAGGAAACAGAATGGGAAATAAACAAAATCCTGCTCATCTTCAGCTGAACCTTTTAAAGCTTTCAGGGATTCAGCTCAAAAGGCAAAGCAAGTCAAAAGGACTCTAACAGCTCAGAAGTACTGCTCCTACTTGTGGCTTTTTTTTTTTTTTTTTTTTTTTGGTACCGGGGATCGAACTTGTGAGGTAGGCAGCAGAACCACTGAGCTAAATCCTGGGCCCCTATTTGTGTCTATTTTTAAAAGTTAGATTATTAATTAGAAACACATGTATGTGTATGAGCGAAACAATGGAATTCTGACACCTCTAGCTAAATTAATCTAAGAGAATGAAATCAAGAAATTATGTCTTTAAACATAATAGAAGTTACACACCCAGGCATATCAATAGTAGACACTATGACAGTGTAAAAATAAAGGTGAGGTGTACAAATTAAAAAGCTTTGTCCTTTTTCACACCTGACATTGATTACAAAATGCAGTGATATTATGGAAATTGTACTCAACAATGAAGAGGCTTTTTTGGTAAGAAGTCAGGCAATAAGGAAACTAAACAGATAAAATAAAGATATAATCATTATTGCTCTGTTTACCAAAAGACTATACTAATATACTAGCTGTGTACTAGTTTAAAAACAGATTGTTCTAATTATGGGATTAGGATAGTTTCGATCTTTGAGTATCAGTTTAAGCTAAAATTATATTTATATAATTACAAAAACAAAGATGGATCCTAACTGAGGGAACTATTTTTTAATTCTTTTTACATCAGTGGAATGGCCATACCCTTTTTACACAAAAGTCCTCAAAAATATCTTTTGAATAAAAAAGTCTGAAAAAATAGTAAAACAAGTAGGCCAAATGTTTTACATTTTAAAACTTATTTTAAAGGCCACTAGGTGGCACTACAGTACCATGTCCTTTAAAGTAATAAGCTGTTCAAGATTTTTTTAATTACACAAATAAATGTGAAATTTTTGAAAAACTTCTGAATCTTTCCTTTCACGTTTTCATGTAAAACAGTACAGCTGGGTGCAGCTGCAGAAACTTTCTACTCTGAATGTCAAAGATGACCTTGTTATACAGAATTATATAAAAGGGCTTAAATTTTACAGACAAGAGTTACAAAATAAATCAAACTCACTGAGGGCCTTGTGTGTGTTAGGCAAGCATTCTATCACTGAGCTCCATCTCCATTCCTTCATGGCTCCCTTTTGTAGTTTAAATTTGTCCATTTTGATTTTCCATTAATAGTTCATATATGACGAGATTTTGTTGAGATGAGATGAAAATAGATATTCTCTCATTTCCCATTCTTTTTAAATGGGCATTACTCAAACTCTCAGTATGTAGGGTGCCCAGTTTTATGTAAGACAGCACATATGAAAGTTGAGATATAAAAGGGTTTAGCTAGTAATTTCATTCCAGGATATATGCTTTATATGGACACAGTATATGGTTTAAACTTTTCACAAAAATTTTCATTCACTTTCATAATATTTCCAAATCAGAATGAAGACTAGTTTCATTAAATAACCGGATTTTTATTAAATACCTTTACTAAAAACCACCCCACATAAGGATAGTTCCCACATTTTATACTAAGGTTGAGAGAGTTTGTCTATTGAACAGAAAAACATAATCCAGGACCCATCAGGGGGCCTACTAATAAGCATTTGCAGAATTAAAAATGTCTTTACAGGAACAGTTTGGAAGTTTTATAAAAAGGCATTATTAGCCAGAGACTATTTTTAGGGTCAAAATCTTTTCACATTATCTACATTTGATTTGGATTGCACTAGTTTTTAAAACACTCCACTTACTTTCCAGTATTTTAAAAAGCAGGTGAGTCATATAAAAGCCCAAATTTCCAGCTCTTCTAATTTTCCCCCTTCTTGCAGTACTAGAGATAGAACCCAGGGCATTCACACTGAGCTACATTCCCTGTGCTCTCCCCCTTTATAAACAAATTATTGCTAAGTCGCTAAATAAATCAGGCTGGGTTTGAACTTGTGATACTCCTGCTTCAGCCTCCCAAAGTCCTGGGGTTACAAGTGTGCACCACCCATGTCCAGCCATCTCTTCTTGAAAAACAAGAACTTAGCCACACTGAGCCACAGTGGCCATTGCCTTCAGCTTCCACCAAAGGTGCCAGTCAGCAGGTGACAGGTCTAACTGGGCTAGGCTCTTGTTTTCTTACAGTAAAGTAAAAGCTGGTAGGTCTTTATTAAGAGATAAACTATGAGGATCAAATATTTTAAAAGAAAAAGGTAAAAGAAGAATCTATTTTGTTGTGTAAGTAAAAATAATTAAGAGTTGGATATACAAACAAAATGTCTAGATCAAAAGAACAGACCCTGAAATGTTATCAGAAAACCAAGCCATGTTTCACCCAATACTAAGGTTGCACTAGCATCTGCTTTGTATCCACCCCACCTGAAGTCAAATTACAGTATCATGTTTAAGGTTTCTAAATCAATACAACTATAATTATGCAGTTATTTGGTCAAAACCATTACTTTTTTCACTAAAATTTAAAAGGAATGAGCTTTTTAAAAAGTATATTTATTTTATATGTTAATTTATAATGTTAATTGTAAAATCTAAATGTTAAAATTTGAATTTTCTAGATTGAGTCAGGTGATTAACAAACTACTCTCGGCAAACCATAATACTTTTATATCTGACTTAAACCTTGCAACCCAAAAGATAGAACTACAGACATAGGAAAAGAAAAGAGAAGATTAGAAAACAACCCTTTTTTTTTTTTTTTTAAACAATCTTGATTTCAAATCATTTGGTAGTTTACTCTTTAAAGAAACTCTTTGCTGACCACTGAAAACTTAATTAATCTAGGTTGTGATTCCCAACACCTAGAAAATAAACATCTTTCTAAACCTAGCTTTTCACTAGTTCTGTCAAATTACCCTGTATTTTCTTTACTGTCCTCTTTATAGCTCAAATGCAATTAGTCATTATTCTGCATATATACCATTACTTCACATATATCCTTTTTCTTCTGGTAATGGGATTGAACTCAGGGCCCCACACATGCTAGATAAGCTCTTTACAACTGACCTATAATCAGCCCTTTAAAAATTTTTATGTTGACATAGAATCTCACTGAACTGCTTTGGCTGGCCTTGATCTTTCTACCTCAGTTTCCTAGGTAGCTGGAATTACGGGCATGCATCATCAGGCCTGGTTCTTGAATATACCTGTTTTGTTCTGTTTTATTTCTGTAGTACTGGGTGTTGAACCAAGGTCCTCTGCACGGATCTACATTCCCAGCCCTTTTTAAATTTAGATAGGGTCTTGTTGAGTTGCTGGCTTGGCCAGGCCAGGCTTGAACTGCCTCAGCCTCCCAGTGTGCTCGGATTATAGGCATGTTCCACTATGCCCAGCTAAAAATCCTTTTTTGTTTTGTTTTTTTTATGTTAGGTACTGAGGATGTAACCCAGAGCCTTACATATGAAACATTCTACCACAGAGCTACATCCCCAGCCCATTTACTTTCATATAATAATTTAATTAAGTACCTCTTCATCTGCTAATCCTTCTTCTTCCATGGCCACTTCTAATTTCTTCTGCCTTTTCAACAGAAAACAATAATTAGAATTTTAAGTACATATGTTTCTAACTATTCCCCTTTCAGAATATACATTTTTTAATTCAAGTTAACCAGGGCCTCATTAATGCTCAGCAAGTGCACTATCACAGAGCTACATCCCTAGCCCACAGCTCTACTTCTAGAGTACTTCACTTGCCTGCCTAAATGCTCTGTTATTCTATTTCTCAATGTCTATAGTAGAAGTATGAAAAAGTAGCTAAGTTTGTAAAGTAGCTATCCCTGTTTGAAACCTGGTCATAACACCCGGTAGACAAAAGAGCTTTCGTTAGTCTGTTACCTTGAGCTCAATTTTCCTGATCAAGGAATGATGTTCAATTCACTTGAGAATATTTTATTCTGTCAAATTTCTTTGGAAATTGGAAAGTTATTTAGGTATATAAAAAACACATACTACCTGTCAGAACATCTGCTTTTCTAGATACAGTCCAGTTCAGTTATTCATTTTTTTAAGTGGAAACCTTGCAAGCTAAATATTTGGAAGGGTGTGTGTGTGGATGGATAAAATAACTAGTAACTAGAAAGATGGCTGTGAAATACTTTCTGAACTTATTTCCAAGTAAACTGTATTTCTGTTGTACTGGTTTTTCCCAAATATAAGTCTAGGAGAACTCGTCCTATTTGATCTTAGAGTGTACTAGGGTAAGACTAGCACTGCCCAATACCCAAATGAATGTATGGTTTGGGACCAAAACTATGATACATATATTTTGGTATTTGCTAGCTGTGACAATATATATATTCAAAGGTAAGCCTAAACCATTCTTCAGCTGTTATTTTTCTTTCCTCTAGAAAATTCATAACCAAAATATCTAAAACCCACTGAGAAATAGCAGCCCAATAGACCACCCACTCCTTTACAGAACTAGTCGTAGGTAACCATTTTGAGCACACTGGTGGTGTTCACCTTTTGTTTAGCATTACTTTCTCAGCCTCGAACCCTCAGAATGGAACATGTGCCTAACATCCTCACTAAAGCGATTTCCAGCATCCTCTCTGCACAGAGTTCAAAGAGTGAGAAGGAATCTATCTGCAAGCAACTTTATTCTCTGGCAAATCTCCACTACTCACCTCCCTCAATGCTTCCCAAACTAACACTTCATGACATCATCCCTCATTCTGGGGAGAAATAACAGGAATTTTTACCCATTTCTACCATATTTGAACAGGCAGATTCATGAATCTTCTTGTACCTCTTTTAAAAAGTTTTCTCTCTAAATGTCTTACACTTTGCTCTGGCTAGCACATTAGGCTTATGCATTTATCCAATTAGTTAACCCTCAAAAATACATCAAACACTTTCTTAAAATATTCACTGTTAAAAAATAAGAGCTGGCTGGTTAATCTGACTTGCATGGCACCAGGCTGAGATTGATTTTTTTTTTTAAAGGAACAGATATTTTTATTTTTATTTTCCTTTGAGAATAAAGGGCAAAACTGAATCATTATAAAGTTTCATGCAAAAAAAAAAAACTCTACGATTATTAGAAATAACGTACATGCCTACTTTGAAAAAACACAGTACTTTCTTTCCTTGGTTCTCTCATCCAATTGCTTCCAAAGACTTTAATTACATTTATGGATATATAGGGTTTTATTTCTAACTTATTTGTCCTATTTTGGTACTTCAATTTTTCAGTTTTTGGTAATATGGCATTTCTTTTCTCTTCTGTTCTTCTGAACTGATTTCTTCCCCTCATGCCATTTTTTCCCCTTCTCCTTATTTGGAAATTACAAGCTTTGTATTTCTATTCTTTTACTGGTACCCTAGAAATTAAAATTATATCCTTATTTGTCAAAGTTTGCAGTTAAGCTTTATTCCCTTCCTTTTCCTTCTCTTTTTCTTTTGTAAAAGCAGTACAGAGACTGAAGCTGAGATCTGCCACAGGCTACACACACACTGTAGCACTGAACAATATATTCCAAGTCCTGTTTATTCCCTTTTCTACAAGGATCCTCAACAACATTTTAATTCCAAATACTTCTCTCGGCTTAAAATCTACTGCTGGAAAGTACTTTGACTTTATTTTTTTAAGATGCACAGGACATTATGAGCATTATTACTTATGTTGTAGTTGCATGGCTGCTCCTCCACTTCCAATAGCATGAGTTGAAAATGCATCTAATATGCCTAACCAACCAATACTTCCCAGGTTACCTACAAGGTATACTACTGCAGAGCGTGAGCAGTTTTCCCTCACAACGGCCTGGCTGACTGGGAGTCCCACTCACTGCCACTGCCCAAGATCACCAGAGCATCATACTACATATCCCCAGGCTGGGAAAGAATTAAAATTTAAAATCCATTCTCTAGGTTCTACGGGGTACCTATCACTTTTGCATGATCATAAAATTGAAAAATTGTAAGCTGAACCATCATAAGTCAGGGAGCAACTGTACAATTGCTGAGCTATTTCCATGTTATTTGCCATTTAGATTTCCTATTTGTGATCACTTTCCTTCTGCCTAAATTGAAACTTTTGAAATTTTTCTTGGTGCTAAACTCCCAGGTTTTTGTTGCCCATGCCCTATTCTCTCACTTCCTCACTTAGGAATTGTGTTTGTTTTCTGTGGTGCTGGGGATTGAATTCCAGAGTCTATAGGAGTAAATGGCACAAGTGCTCTCCCACTTTAGGAATACCTATTTGTGATCACTTTCCTTCTGCCTAAATTGAAACTTTTGAAATTTTTCTTGGTGCTAAACTCCCAGGTTTTTGTTGCCCATGCCCTATTCTCTCACTTCCTCACTTAGGAATTGTGTTTGTTTTCTGTGGTGCTGGGGATTGAATTCCAGAGTCTATAGGAGTAAATGGCACAAGTGCTCTCCCACTTTAGGAATATATAACCACTGAGCTAAACCTCCAGCCCAATAATTACTGAGGTTGTATTTTCTAGTTCACTAATTATCTCCTCAGCTATAGTTAAATCTATCCAAAACTATTTTTTTTGTTCTAGTCCTGTTTCACTAAATTACATCAATTCTCACTTTGTCAGAGCATGAAATTTTGGGGCCAGTAGAGACTTCTCTGATACTTTGTGTCCAGCTAGTTGCCACTTTTGCCAATCTTTCTCACTTGTTCAGTTCTTCTCTATCTTTCTCATCAATCCTAATTTAAGCCCCTTTCCATCAGCCTGGATATCGCTAGTCTTTCCTGTTTCTAATTCCCCACATCCATTCTACACAACACAATAAAAGTTCACTTCCAGAGAAACATTTGTGATCATCTAATTCTGCTTACAAACCTTCAAGGTTTTCCAATACTATGAGAACAGCTACATTAACATGGCACACAGGGTTCCTGTGATACTGAAATTTAGCACATTCTGTATCAGACTTTAACTGGATACTGCCTGACCTGAAGGTCATGGGGGACCTTGAATTCAGAACCTTGCTCTTGCAAGGTAGGCACGGAATCCCCAGCCCACCTGTAGGTAATTTCTTCTCACTAATATTCTTTTTATCGTTCTCTTTCCCTTTATGCTGTGTAAACAGTACTCTTCCTTGACAGCCTATTTCAATGCCACTACTATTTAAGAAGTGTTCCAAGTTGCCACAGTCAAAAGCAATCTCCCCCTTCTTTATCCTTGTTTTAGTGATACTTTTCACTCTTTCATACATTTAGGTACATTTTCTCCTTTATCATACTGTAAGTTTAATTAATGCCAAAAAATTGTCATTTTTTAAACTCTTCCATTTCCATTGATATACACACTATGCTGTTTTGGAGTAAAGACAGTCATTTGTAAAGCATCCCTCTAAAAAAATGTGTAACAATATACAATGGAAAATGTTTAATTAGCAACTGACATGATAAAAGTATATGTGCACACAAGACTTTGGGTATCCCAATAAGTTATTCTGTGAAATAAAATAACTAAGAGCATGGTAAGTGCAGGAAACCTAAAACAGCATGCAGGGATCACTTATATACACATTATTAATGAAAAACACATTTACAGTCCACTCACTGCATACCACTTTAACAAAAGCTTGACCAGCTTTCCCTATACCTGGTTTCTCTCTCTTCATGCTGTAAAATTAGGTTGCTGTAAAAATTCTCCAATGTGAGCTTGGCTACAGTCACTCTTTCTCGGGTATGGTTGCTCATAGGAAAGGTTGTTGTAGTCCCTGCCGTCATTGCCATAGTAACAGAAACTGAAATGACATATTAAAAACAAATTATTCAATAGAAAAAAAATGTTATCACTTATAACAATCCGACTCGTCCGTGGCGCTCTCAGGCCATGTGGGCAGGAGCCGCGCGGGTGTCAAGCCCTCCAGAGCGCAGCACGGCCTGGCTGAATTCGCAAGAGGCGCGCACTGGCCAGTCGGAGATCTGCAGGGCAGCAGCCTTCCGCTGGCCCACGCGCCCAACCCTCCCCCGAAGCAGGACGAGCAAGTTGGAAATTAAACCCCACAATGAGGTGATCCTATACGGCGAGTCTGGAAGCCCCTGCCTTTCTGAGGATAGCTAGGATAATGATGACGACACAAAAAGAGGAAGCAGTAGTAAAACCAGAAATAAAAATTTCAGAAAAGAAAAAAACAGCAGAGAAGATAAAAGAGAAAACGGCAACAGAAAAAAAAGGTGGGAAGAAATTAAAAAGAGGTTAGAGGAACCTGAAGTCAACCTAAAGCGCTGACACCATAAGAACAATTAGCAGATAAACTTCAGCTAAAGAAATTACAAGAAGTGGGCCGAGGATTTAGCTCAGCGGTTCTGCCGCCTACCTCACAAGCACAAGGACCCGAGTTTGATCCCCAGCACCAAAAAAGAAAAAAAGAAATTACAGGAAGAGTCAGACCTTGAATTAGCAAAATAAACTTTTGATGTTAATAATTCAGTTTATGGAGTAGATGCTATAAATCCATCTTCAAGAGATGATGTCACAGAGTTTGGAAAGTTACTAAAAGAAAATTATACAATATGAAAAGTCACTGCATTATGCCAGTTTTTTGGAAGCCTTAGTTTGAGATGTGTGTATTTCATTGGAAATTGATGACTTGAAAAAGATTACCAATTCACTGACTGTGCTTTGCAGGGAAAAACAGAAGCAAGAAAAGCAAAGCAAAGCTAAAAAGAAGAAAGGTGTGGTTCCTGGAGGGGGATTAAAGGCCACCAGGAAAGATGATCTGGCAGATTATGGCGGTTATGGTGAAGGGTATGTGCAAGAATATGAAGACTTCATGTGACATTTTATCTTCTCCTGGTGTCTTCTTTCTGCTGCCCACAATCCCTTCAACATGTAGCACAATTTCCTTTCCCTTCTAACAAATGCTACAAATCAGAAGTGCAGTATCTTTTGTGCTGGTTACTCAACCCCTTGACACTTAGGTGCTAAGACGCAATGAGGGAACTTGGATCTTGCTGCCAAGGGGTTAAAATTGGGAACCTCAACTGCTACTAAATCCTAGTTTAAACACAATCTATAATGTTGTCATTGCTGCTATCTGATTCCATAGCAGCATTCACTAAATTGGAAACAAAGGTTGCAACATGACAAGAAACTGTGCAGTATTTACCAGCACCATTCAGTAATACAGCCTTAACCATACTGCCTTGAACTACTTCATAACTTGTCAAGACAGCAAGGGCATGTGGTGTGCACCCAGTATTAAAATTGCTTTGTCTTAAAATTGAGCGTCAGGATACTAAAATCCATTGTAAAAAAGACTGTTTATCTCAGAGTGAAGATACTTAAAAATTAAATGACCAAAACCCTCCCAACTTTGAAGCTGAAGATGGTAAACCTCTCCATTATTACAGTCCAATAATTCCTGTGGAACCTGTTGAGTGTACAGACCAACTAATTTTTAACTAGACTATTTCGAATGATGGGATGCTTCAGGAGAGGAGAGAGAAACTATCTGATTCAAGTGTCTGAGAAACAAATCTTTTTTGTTCTTCTAGACTACAGTGGAACAACTTTAACAGGGCTGTGGCATTTCCTTTCCTTTATAAAACATGCTCAGCAAACTGCACCAGTTAACTACAGTTTGGTAAATTGTTATGTTCACAATTATGACATCTGCAATGTTTTATAAAATAACTAATCTAATTTCAAAGATCTGAAAATGTTTACTTTCTACTAAGAAAAATTCTATCCAACAGTTAACAGATCCAAGTCTTGTACACTGTAATACAAAGTTAATAAGCAGAAAAGATGCACTCTTCTCAAAGCAAGATAAATTAATTTTGGATTGGCAAAACCAGGGGTAAATTATAGTAAAGTAGTACCAGGGCAAGTCCATGTGTAATACAGACACAATTAAACACACAAGGTCATAGTCAACAGCATTCAAAACAAAAAGTTTAATACACTTGTTGATTTATTGTTTACCAAATGAAAATCTTAAGATTTTGCTAATAGTTATTTCCATGATACATATGTGTCCTAAGAGTTAAAACAGTTTAAATAGTAAGTAGCTTCTGCCATCTACAATCTATGAAACATGAATTGTGTATTGGTAGACGTTGTAGGAGATCAGTGTTAGAAATCAGCCCTTTTTCACAAGGTCAAAACTTCCCTTTTCATTCTGAATTGTGTTATTCCAGACAGCACTACAAAAAGGTTAAAATTTTGTAAATATTCACTGACTCCTTAGAATTAGTGTAATAATAACTAGATGGAGTAAAAAATATGCTTTTGCAAATCTGGATAAGGGTATTAAAAGACCATTCTAGAGAAGAAACAATTTGGAAAGAGTGGCCATCCAAAGCTGCATTCGTAGCTGAAAGATTCCTCATACCTACCACCTACCTAGTCCACCCCCACATACCCTCCCTCTATCTTAATTACATGAAAATATAAAACCCTGGATGCAGACCTGAACTCAACTAGATTCAAGGGATGGTTCAATGAGCCAGACGATCTTTCACATTCTCACCAAACAAGTCAAGTACAGATTAAAACTAAATAACTATGGTAAACTCCTATTCATATTGTTTTATTAGAGGTTTATACTCAATGTACTGCTTGAACATCAAATTCATCATGTGTGAAACTGCATCTATTGTTCTATTAGAAACTTGTTTATTTGTACATTATTTAAGATCTTTTCATAGCAAGAAGCTGATCATGTCATTTTTTAAAAAATCTTCCATGGCTCCTTGCCAAAGCAAGTCAAATAAGCTTAGCATGATTAAAAGGGGGGGGGATGGGCAACTCACATACACTGAGTGTATCTCAGGACCTTTTTGATACTTTATTCACTGATTTCTTAAGACAGCAGCATTTCGTGTTTTGTCCTTACAACAGCCCTGCGAAGTAGGGAACTGAAACTTGGAAAAGTCACACAGCTAGCAGACTAGTGAAGGCAAAACTTTTAGAGCTTTCAAAGATACAAAGAACCCACTGCAGCACGCGCGTCTCAGGATCATCACCACTGTAGCAGGCTTTAGAGTCTGTCAGGGCTCCAACTTGCCTTTCTAGTTTATCTGCTACACCTCCTCACCACTCTCTTCTCCCAACATCTCTAAGGCATGTCCACGCCTTGAGGGCCTCTCATTACCTACCTATCCCTGAACATCCAGAATTCTCGGTTTGCAGAGATCCTGCTGATCCTTTGGGGCCCAAAGTCTTAAGTGGCAACTTCACTACCATCCTCTACCAGAGGAGACACTCCTACCACTCCATGGGTAATCTCTAACTGTGTACAGCTATGTCTAGGCTCTGGTGCTGATCACTTCACGTGCCCATCCTTCTAAGGTAGGAGCAGCTCTGGATAAGAACATTTATCTCCCAGTTTGTTTTTGAACATTCACAATAGCACCAACTGTAAACATTGAGCAAATGAGACCATCTATCAAATGGGGAATTCAGAAAAGAATTGAAAGAATTGGCAAAAAGTAAAGTATTCTATAAAGGTTGACCAATAAGCAACTGTGGAAATTACTGAACCCTGGAGTCAGAAATTCAGGGATTTAATCCCAGCATGGCTGCCAGCAGATCAAAAGGTCTTACTCAATATAAATGGAAATGAAGGGATTCAACCATCCCTAGAATCTAGCTGAGTTCAGGTCTGCATCCAGGAGGGAGGGAAGTGGGACAGTAGTTATGGTAGGGCTGCTGGAAAACCCTAGGGTTCAATCCCCAATAATGCAGAAAAAAAAGGTAGTGAAAAACACAGACAAAACCTTTTATAATGCCTCTTTGAAAATAGTGCAAAGAAATAACACCAATTACAGAGTTGTGTGCCTCATAAGCAATGCTTATAGCAGTGAAGAAAAAGGATGGAAGGAACTGCCTGGCTGGAAGGGCCCTGTAGGTCAGCTGCCCTGCTCAATCCGTCAAAGAGCAAGAATTGATCTTCAGTTGCTACTGTCTTAGTGCAATCAAACTCTGGAAGCTATTTTATCCTAATTCAGTTCTCAAAAGACAGACAAGACAGAATAGCAAGTTACTGATCTACTCAATAAGAAATCAAGTCACAAGGAAAAGATGCTTACATCTTGCAGCAAATGCATTCTGCCTTTACAGGAAGCCTTAATTAGGATTCCAAGATTAACTCTAGAAGATTGCTTGGGGAGCACCACACCTGGAGAGAACTTACTCAAATTAAATGTTTAATGTCATCAGGATAAAGTGGAATGCTAAGGAAAAATAAAAATGCATCCTGCCAGCTGTCCCTAGACCCACAGCCCCAAGGAAATGATAAATACTGGAAAGCTTGGCTGTAACCAAAGGGTGGTCCACCAGGCTGGAGGTGGGCAGAATAGGACATTTTTGTGGAACACCTAAGTGTTAGGAGATTCAAAACAATTACCAACAAGAGAAAGTGTCTGTATTAGCAGAACAGAAAAAAATATGAGGTCATTTTAGATAAATATTTATGAACTTGATGTCTCACAAGAAGTGAACAGAGGCATAAAATGATAAAGTGAGTTTTACTCCAAAATCCAGAAATGGATGTCAAGCATTGAAAAAAAATCACTTAGTTACTATATAATTTAATCATGATTAATACGATCTTTCCATCTTGATATAAATATAAGAAAGTATGTATGCCTTTTTAAAAGCCAATCAGGGCAAAATCTATGTCTACTCATCATTGTGATGAAAACAGCTAGGCACACAGTGGACATTCCATAAAGGCTATTACTCAACTCAAATTCCATATTTTAAACTATATTCTTATGTTTCGCATGTAATAAT